TAACGAGAAGGCCCTCTGCCTGGTTCCCTGTAACTTGGCATCTCGCAGCGAGGGAACTGCCAGAAGGTCCTCAGCGCTGGACCTCAGTGTCTGGGCAGAACGATCGAGGTGGAGACTTTCCTTCAGGTATACTGGACCAAGGCCGTTTAGGGCTTTAAAGGTTAAGATGTTTGAAGAGGGCTATCCTATCTCCTCTCAGTCTCCTCTTTTCCAGGCTAAACCTAGCTAGCTCCTTCAACCGTTCCTCATCAGGCTTGGTTTCCAGACCCTTGAGCATCTTGGTCGCTCTCCTCTGCACACCTACCAGCTTGTCAATATCCTTCTTAAACTGGGGCACCCATAACTGGACACGGTATTCCTGGTGTTAAGTTGTGGGCGAACATATCAAACGACACAGCGATTCTTCAAACAGCTCTTGTTTATTCAGAGGCCAGAACAGAACTGAACTGAAGAGCTCAGTCAGCCTGCTTATATAGAGCTCCAGAACAACGTAACTGTAGCAACTTTCTAAAACTATCCAATCACTGAACGTCACTTTCGATCCTTCATTTGCATAACTATTTACAGTATCCCCCTGCTGGCCCAGGGTGAGAACTTCAGTACATAACACCTGGTGTGGTCTGACCAAGGCTCTACAGTGTCCTTGTTCATGTGAGGGCAACTGGAGCTATATACAGTGCTTGTAAAGCAAAAGGCAGATTTGCACAGTATCCTGACACGCAGAACGTCCACTGTAATGCAGGGTGCACAATGGGTGGTTAATCCAGCAGATGGATAAAGAGGCCCTCCGCATGTTCCGCGCCGCATTTTACACATGACACGGGAGGAGCACTTATTCCCATAGTCCACAGTGTGTAAAGTCCACATGTCAGAATGCTATGCAAATTGGCCCGGACTTTGCAGCTGCGTGCCAAACGCTGACTCATGCTGGCAGATGCTCAGCACCGGCTCACAGCTGGGAACCAAAACAGCCAAGACTTTTCATGGCTCTGAAATAGCCATGTGAGAATGCCTTTATTGATTTCTATGCGATTTATACAGGCGCAATATTGCAGCTGTTCCTCCCTGCTCTATACATGTGGGGGAAAAACAGCTTCAAGTCACTTCGTACCAAAGTCATGGCTTTCTGCTTCTGCAACCACAAAGCTCTCTCTCTCTTAATTAATTAATTCTTAATTAAGTAATGAATTAATTAATCTTCCACTCAGTGCCAAAACAGGCTCTAAGTGGTTTACAAAATATAAAACCCTGTTACATGAAGATTAAGGTATAATCAGCCATAATGAAAACACCCAATAAAATTGTTCCTGTTGAAATGTTAAAATGTAAACACCCATAATTCAAATACAGCATTTCAAACAAGAGAGATTAAGGGAATGTCTATGTAAGCAGGTACTATGGAAACAAACCGCGTATGTTTAGCATTTTCAGTCCGTGCTAATAGGATAATGACATCTAGGTTATTTTCCCAGATCTGGCTGGCAAATGAGAGGTTTCTCCACCCCCAGTCTAGTACAGTGGTACCTCGGGTTAAGTACTTAATTCGTTCCGGAGGTCTGTTCTTAACCTGAAACTGTTCTTAACCTGAAGCACCGCTTTAGCTAATGGGGCCTCCCGCTGCTGCTGCACGATTTCTGTTCTCATCCTGAAGCAAAGTTCTTAACCCGAGGTAATATTTCTGGGTTAGCGGAGTCTGTAACCTGTAGTGTATGTAACCTGAAGCGTCTGTAACCCAAGGTACCACTGTAATATAGAGGGCTTGAACTGTGCATTGCATTAAGGCTTGCCCCACTTTATCCCACAACTTTTCCCCTTCCACTCTGCCCTCGCTCAGAGCCAGTGTGGTGTAGTGGTTAAGAGCGGTGGACTCGTAATCTGGTGAACCGGGTTCGCGTCTCCGCTCCTCCACATGCAGCTGCTGGGTGACTTTGGGCTAGTCACACTTCCCTGAAGTCTCTCAGCCCCACTCACCTCACAGAGTGTTTGTTGTGGGGGAGGAAGGGAAAGGAGAATGTTAGCCGCTTTGAGACTCCTTCAGGTAGTGATAAAGCGGGATATCAAATCCAAACACTAACACTTCCAAACACTTTTCGCCATCATGACTGCCATCCAGTTTAATGGTCCCCTGCAATTTTAGGACCAAGCTAGATATGAGGGGCAGACACATGGAACACCAGTTTCCCCATTCATAGACAGAGAGAAGAGAGTGTAGGGGACCCAAACTTTGCACAAAATGGAGCATTGGAGAGTGTTGCCTTATGTCAGTAGGCACTGCAGCAATAAGCCTCCCCCCTCCCCCCTCCCGTCCAATTCATTTCCAGTTCTGGGCAGCACAGTTTTAGAAGGATATTGACAAAGGAAAAACTGGGCAGAAGAGAGCAACCAAGATGATGAAGGGTCTGGAAACCAGCAAGTATTATTAGTATTAGTAATATTTATATCCTGCCTTTCTGCCAAGTTCAGGATTCAAGGTGGCTTGCACCATCTGAATGCAACATTCACCAAAATGACACATAAACGGCCACCATGATTCGAACTCAGCTCTCCCCGGTCCTAACCTAGCACTCTTAGTAACTCCTCTGTATTGCTTCCACATGTTAGCCAAACTCAGAAACACCAGTTCCTTCAAAATGTAAAACTCTGGGACACTCTGGACTCTTAACTCTGAGCTAATAATAATAATAATAATAATAATAATAATAATAATAATAATAATAATGACAGATAGATAGAGGATAGATATCATCATCATCATCATCATAATAATAATAATAATAATAATAATAATACAAGCCTATTCAAACTGGGCCAAGAAGGATCTCCAGCTGCCCCCTAAAATTCTGTTTGGAGGCAAGATCTGACGGTTGTGATGTATGACTCATTCGCCCCAAGGGAGAGGGAAAGGATGAATTTGACAGAGAACACAAGTGCGTTTTAGATCTTCAAATGCTCGAAGTGTACAAATGGAAATTGATTCAGGAACAACAAAAAGCAACCACCACCCACCCAGCCTAGAGCTGTTTCTGACCTATGGGGTAGGTTGGTGGTCTCTGAATTTCAGACTCAATCGATTTGTTCTCTTGTGGAAGAAAGTGATATCTGCTTGGGGAAAGAGAGGATTGTCGCTGTTGTTATTACACTAATATCCCTCCTTTTCCTCCAAGGAACTCGAGGTGACATGTGACCTGATCCTGCACTTCTGTGCATGTGCAAAGCGCAATTTAGTGTTTCTGCGCATGTGCGAGCGCCGAAATTCGGAAGTAACCCGTTCCTGTACTTCCGGGTTTGGCACAGTCTGTAACCCGAAAATGCGCAACCCGCCGTATTCGCAACCTAAGGTATGACTGTACTGATTTGATGGTTGCCATAGTGCGATGTTGATTTGCCCCCTCTAAATTATTTTATTCCTTTTAAAGAAAGGTGAGCAGGACTCACACGCCCGATTGTCTATCGAGGAGGCCGTTTCAGATCTCAGCACTTATTTATTTACATTTTTATTCCACCCTTTCCCCAAAGTGGCCCTCACCATGGGTGGGGGAAACTGTGGCCCCTCAGAGCTCGTTGGACTTCCTCTCCCATCTCTCCCAGCCAAGATCGCCAGCGCTCACGGATGATGGGAATTGTAGTCTGGTGACCTCTGGAGGGTCTCAGGTTCCCCATCCCTGCTCTCCCACTTCTCCCTCCACAGATTTCATCTTCAAAAAAATTGAATTATTTTAAAAATTCCACCTCCCTCAAAACAAAACCAACCCCCCCCCAAATTGTGCATTTTTTATGTACACTTTCCCCAATTTTTTGGCCAGAGAGCTTGTACTGTAAAATTTGGGGAAGTGCAAATTTGAAGAATGCCGGTGTCTATGGTTTGCATCTTGTTAATTTTGTGTGAATTAGGTAATTCTGTCTTTAAATGTTAACTGAACTGCATTTATCCCCCGTTCCTTCACAGGCCTAGTTCTCAGTGAGACGACACACCTGTGCCTGGGCTGTCTCACTGCAAGTGGAAACTCAGGTGGCTAAATTCTCCTCCTTAGCAATAAATAAACAAACAAATCCCTGCATGTAGAAATCTAGCACATCAGGGTTTTCTGTCTTGAAGAAACATCTAGTATGCATCCTAATTCAGACGATGGCTTGGTGTTCATACAAAAGGGTTACCAGTCTTATTGGGAGGGGATTGGCGTGTTTGTGTGTCACTCTGCCCCGATCCAGTAAACAGATGCATGGGCCTGTAGCCCAATCAGAACACTCGCCAGGCTAGGCAGAGGAGGAGCTTCTATCTCCCTGGCAACCATCCTCCACAGCTTGGCCCTGTGACCTCACACTTTAGACACCGCGACTCTGCTGGGGAGTTCTCATCCAAGACAGAGATCCCCATTTATTTATTTTTTTGCAAGAGATGGAAACTCCAGAGGTGAATTATGGGGTGGGAATGATGGGACTGGAGAATGAGCACATTTGCAATAACCACAACATGCCAATAGAACAAAAGGAAAGTAGAATTTGTATTTGAGCCTATCAACAGAATGAGACAATGAACAGAGGTGATAGACTCCGAACAGTTCCACCTCAGGTGTGGAGTTCTATCTCTCCCCACCCTCAAAAAAACCCAATCTCTGTGCGGGTACAGAAATGAGGACACAGAAGGCGAGTAGCCGTGATCTGCTCCTTTGTCGCTTCGTACGCAGAACATCTTTGCAAAGGGAGGATACAAAATGAAGGAAACCACCCGCACCCCCCCAAAAATCTGAAGCCACCCAAAATCTGAACCGGTACTGTCCTGAATTCTGCCACCCAACTTTAGCTTCTCATCCCATGTAACGTAGAAGCAGTACTTTTCTTTTTAGGAAATCATAAAAGTGCCGGTACTCAACATGAAGTTGTTACAGTAAGGGCCACATTTTTAACATGGGGGGGGGGAGTGGTACTGTGTGCCCCAGGAAACCCCCCCCCCCTGTGATATAAGTCTCTGCTCAGGGCAGGAGAAACAAGTGTGCTCTTACCTGCGTAGTGGTCAAACACCGTAGGAACGTACTCTTCCGGAAAAGCATCGTTGGCGTAGCTCATCAGCAGGCAGGTCTTGCCCACGGCTCCATCCCCGACGACCACACATTTAAGCATCTTCTTCACGCTGCCGTCAAGGTGTTCTCCCTCTTTGCTGCCCATCCTGACTCTTTGTTTTTATCTACCTGCCCGCTTCCCCCAGAATCTCAGGCATACATGGAAGCAGCGAGGTCCCTGCTCCCAAAAAGCTTTCTTTCCTGAGTTAGTTTCTGTAGTCGTTTCCCTCCCCCTTTTCTTTTCTTTTCAAAGTAGTGAAATCATCACGCCGAATCCCCACGCTTGTCCCAGCCCGAACTTTCTCAAGCCGAGAAGAAAGCCACGCGGGGGAAGAATAAATAAGACAATAATAGGGGCACGAGCGTGTTGTGAGCCCGAGTCAGGAAACCTTCATCTTGGATGCAGAAAGACTTTGGTTAAAAATAGACGCCGTCTGAGGAACAGAGTGCCTCCTTCTCTTCCTTGCTCCGGCCTGAAAAATCTGGGATTTGTGCTAAGCCCACCCCACCGGCCATCGCATTCCCAAGCGGAGAAGGGAAGCTGGAGGGGTTTAATGGACGGTTTTCATTTCCACGCAACCCCTTTATTTCCCCAGCTTGCTATATGTCAGGAAATCATGGGTTTCCTGCCGAATTCCATATTAGGATGAGTGGGGCTCGTGAAGGGCTGCGAACAATAGGAGCTCTGTATGTGTTTGTACTTTGCAGGAACTCTGCCAGAATGTGGAGGAAGAAAAGTGCTAGAGGTCTCAGCGCAGGATGAAGTTCGGAGGCCTCCTGCTCTGGGGAGACTGGCCTGAACGCTGCCACGACCCCAGAGGCACTGGGGAGCGACATCGTAAAAAGGCAGTTCTGTAACTTGGGGGGCTGGGAGCTTTCGGCTCTGTGCCCCCTCGCAAGGAGTCGCCAGCAGCAGCAGGCAAATATGCGATAGAGATCTACATACAGATGATGCCAAAGGAGTTAGCCTTGGGCTGACCCCTCCATGCGAGGCACAACTGATAGCATCTGGGACAAGTTAAGAAAGGTCGTGGTCCTTTAAGGGCACCACTTCTGGCATTTCAAATCAGATAGACTGCTTCTGTTTAGACGCAGGAGTGCAAGTATCTGCTGGCCAACCAGAATCTGCTGGCTAGATAGGACCCAACTGGGTTTTCTCCTTCTCCCTAATAGGCATTATTATTGGTCGAATGTGCTCTGCTGTGTTAGGCTGCAGGTGCAGAGGCTGGCAGAAGCTGCCACGGTGCCCTCGCCAGCCTCTGAAGAAGCTGGCATTCGCTTGTTGCTGACCATCTCGAAACCGTGGTGTGGTGGCTGAAGCAGTGGGAAATTGGGGTTCAAATCCCCACTGATCCACGAAGGCCATTGGATAACTTTAGGCCTGTCACTGTCTCTCAGCCCTAACCTACATCACAGGGTTGTGGTGAGGATAAAATGGGGATAATAATAATAATAATAATAATAACAACAACAACAACAACAACAACAACAACAACAACAACAACAACAACAATAATTCTATAGGCACGGAAACAAAACACAACCGTCAATAATACAGTGGTACCTCTGGATGCGAAGGGGATCCGTTCCGGAGCCCCATTCGCATCCTGAGTAGAACGCAACCTGCATCTGCGGGTGCGCAGGTTGCAATTCGCTGCTTCTGCGCATGCACCTGACGTCATTTTGAGTGTTTGCGCATGCGCAAGCGGTGAAACCCGGAATGGTTTACTTCCAGGTTTCGGTGGTCGCGCATGCACAGAAACGCCGAATTGCAACCCGTGCGTGCACAGATGCAGCGCTGTGGGTTGCGAACGTGCATCCTGCACAGATCACGTTCACAACCCGAGTGTCCACTGTACATTCATTTGTAAAAAAGGAATATACAACGGTATAGACAGGAAGTCCAAAGTGTTGGTACATAAATGATTTGGGAATAGTTTTTTGTCCTTGTTTTTTCTTCTTTAGGTATATAAACTTTGTATACATGCTGAAAATTATATTATAATATGCCTTGTTATGTAATATGGTAATGTTTACCGATGTAACATAAGAACGTTAATAAATGATTAAAACTAAAAAAAAAAAAAAAACTCAAGAGAAGTGAAGGGGGTCAGTCAATTAGGGGTTTTTGGAATGTAGGGTGAGGAATTGACTTTCTTGAGCCCCAAATGGCATTCTATGCTATGGCATTCAGAGTGGAAGAATTGGCTGGCTAGATGGAGCATTCTTGTTGCAGCTCGCACTTGTTATAAACCAGGTGCAGGGAGCCTGGAGAAGGCATCCATGCGTTGCTAGACTCCAACTCCCATCATCCTCTGCTCTTGCCAAACCGGCTGGGGCTGTTGGGAATTGGAGTCCAGCTTTATCTAGAGGACCACCCCTCCCTCGCCCGTTCCACACCCCTATTATAAATAGTGAAATGGGCCTAAAAGGGATGGATGCCAAAGACACAAGTCCCATTAATAAAATTGTGCGCGTGCGCTTGAATGTTTGACCTGCGCTAACAATGTTGCTATTCTTATTGCTATCGAGGCAGAAAGAAAATAGCCTCAACAAACGTTCTTAAAATACGCCGCTTTCTTCTGCAGTTTAATCTTGGCTATATCCAGGCTTGAGCCTTTGAGCTTTGCTGCTAATCTGTCCACCCACCCACAAAGAAATCTCTGTGCTTTCCTCTTCTGCTGGAATCTGAAATTCCCCCCCCCCATCAGTCCTTCATCAAGTCTTAAAGTCAAAAGTGACAGAAGCAGTCTATCTGATTTGAAATGTGGGTGAGACTTGCACCCCCAATAGCAGTCTCTTTCCCTCCTTCCACACTTTAAAGCAGGACCGGAATATTGTTTTTCAAAGGGCACAGCTGCACCAAAGCCTTCCTTTTGCAGGGGAACTGCATCTCTCATAGCAATCTTGGATTAAAGTATTGTGCGCAACCCAAAACTACAGTTCCCAGGATTCTTTTTGGGGGGTGAGGGGTAGCCACATGGCAATTAAACTGTTTGCAGGTGAGCCATGCCCCAATCTTGAACACTTTTAGACTTTTCAATTCAGGTGATCCTTTTCCAGTCTAGGCTCCACCCTTGATGTGCAGCTGATCTCTTAGCGGTGATAAGATCTGTGCTGGTTTAGGGGCTGATGGGAACTGTAGTTCCAAACATCTGGAGGATGTCAGGTTGGCAAAGGCGGTATATGGGACATTTATGCAAGTAGACCTTCTGCATCCCTGTTGAAGCATGGTGGAGGACGGCGTGCATCCTAAAACACCTTCATCAGTCAGCAGTGCATGAGACCCTTAATTTCAGAGTTGTGGGTTCTTGCACCACGTTGGGCAAAAGATTCCTGCGCTGCAGGGGGTTGGAGTAGATGACCTTCATGGTCCCTTCCAACACTACAGTTCTATGATTCTATGAATGCTTTGGTCATGATCTGAATGCATGTAAAATAACAACAACAACAACAACAACATATTACTTATACCCTGCCTATCTGGCTGGGCCTCCCCAGCCACTCTGGGTGGCTCCCAACAGAATATTAAAAATAGAATCAAACATTAAAAACTTCCCTAAACAGGGTTGTCTTCAGATGTCTTCTAAAAGTCAGATAGTTGTTTATTGCCTTGACATCTGATGGTAGGGCATTCCACAGGGCAGGTGCCACTAGAAGGCCTTCTGCCTGGTTCCCTGCAACCTCACTTCTTGCAGTGAGGGAACTGCCAGAAGGCACTCGGAGCTGGCCTCAGTGTCTGGGCTGGACAATGGGGATGGAGACACTCCTTCAGGTCGGAGGCCATTTAGGGCTTTAGAGGTCAGCACCAACACTTTGAATTGTGCTCGGAAATGTACAGGGAGCTGATGTTGGTCTTTCAGGACCAGTGTTATATGGTCTTGGCAGCTACTCCCAGTCACCAGTCTAGGTAAGGGTAAAGGTAAAGGGACCCCTGACAGTTAAGTCAGTGGACCGGCCCCCTGCTGAAAAAGTTTGCTGACCCCTGGTTTAAAACAAACACAAGGAACTAAAGAAAACATACTGGGAGCCAAAGTAGGTCTTTCAAGACTGGTGTTATGTGGTCTCAGTGGCCGCTCCCAGTCACCAGTCTAGCTGCTGCATTCTGGATTAGTTGTAGTTTCTGAGTCACCTTCAAACGTAGCCCCACGTAGAGCATATTGCAGTAGTCCAAGCGGGAGATAACTAGAGCATGCACCACTCTGGCGAGACAGTCTGCGGGCAGGTAGGGTCTCAGCCTGCGTACCAGATGGAGGTGGTAGACAGCTGCCCTGGACACAGGATTGACCTGCGCCTCCATGGACAGCTGTGAGTCCAGAATGACTCCCAGGCTGTGGACCTTCACCGCCTTCACTGGTTCTGATTTGAAAGAGAGGTAGAGCTCAGTATCACCCGCATACTGATGAACACCCAACCCAAACCCCCTGATAATCTCTCCCAGAGGCTTCATGTAAATGTTGAAAAGCATGGGGGAGAGGACGGAACCCTGAGGCACCCCACAAGTGAGGGCCCAGGGGTCTGAACACTCATCCCCCAAACCACTTTCTGGACACGGCCCAGGAAGAAGGAGCGGAACCACTGTATAAGAGTGCCCCCTTGCATCTTGCATTTCAACTGGAGTTCTTCCTCTTTGTGAAGTTTCTCTACTTCAAACTATCCCTCCCAAACTGTATCTGCAGTGCATTGTTCCATCCTGACTCCTGAACTTGGTTCCTCCATCTCCAAAATTGTGGGGAAAACATTGCACTGTGGTGAAACATTCTGATGACTTATTTTCTCAAGGCTCCCGTCATCATTTTTACAAGGGAATGGGAGAGAGAGAGGGAAATAAACCTCTCTTAAAACTCCATCCACTGGCAAACAATGCTCCTTAGTCATCAAGAATCTCTGTGTCACCAGGATCGACGTGCCTGTTCTTGGGTAATCTGCCTACGCGTGATCTGAGGAACATTCTTCAAACAAGCCAGAATCCTTCCACTGTAGGCCAGAGAAGGCTTTTGTCACAACACAACCGGGGTCTCTCAAAGGAAGGTTAATCCCCAATCCGTCAGGACCCCAGAGTCCAGGAGACAGCGGTAAGGATGGCGGAGAAATTCGATTCCGCCTGCATCGCATGACAAATCCACCTAATTCGCTGCTTCCTCAATAATACGCAAACCGAAACACAGCCACCCTTCAAGGTTCACACTTCTCTGAATGTTGCAGTGCCGTAATCTGTACAAAACCCCATATGCCGAGGGCAAAATGTGCATATAAATGAGCAAAAATCATACAAAAACTGCATTATGTTCGGGGAAACGGCTTTGCCAGAAGGGGTGTGTTAGGCAATATTGCAAAAATGTCTAGAGTGGGACAGATTTGCATTGAAATGTTGATTAATTTTCATGAGGACCTAATAATTCTGAAGTGGAAATGTGGAGAACTGTACTGAAGGTTTTTTGTTTTTGTTATTTTAAAGAGAAATTGAGAGAAGCTGACATTCACAGCTTTGCCCATCACAAGTAAGCAGGAGATGGAGTTGGAGGCTACAGGACTACCAAGTAAGAAGTGGGTCACGGTTCCTGGCTCCAATGTTGGTGATCTGAGACTGGCTAGCAGGAACCCACTGAAACAATTCTCAAGGCCTGTAGAAGGGGAACCAGGACCCTCACAGACACCTTCTCCTCGGCCCAAGGAGTTGATCGCCTCCCACAGCACCTTGCC